ATGTGTCACTGACTGCGCCAGAGTGATTGATGTCTGAATGGTGAAAAATGTCTACCATCCCAACATTTGGCCCTCTGGCCAGCCCCCCCCGCTCTGCTTTTGCATGTTTACCTTTCGGATTCCACCAAAGCATGGAAATAAAGCACCGCTCCACTACGGCTTAACCAGGGGAAAGACAGCTGGGTGCTCTTCAGCAGGAGTGTGCCCTCGCACCAACCAAACATTTATATAATAAAGGAAGAATCTACTGCGCTCTGTTCCACGTTCAATCATGTTCATGTCTGAATGTTTTTTTAAAGTTCCTCAGTGACACCGAGTCCTACCCGAGGTCCTACGGTGCACTTATTTTTCCCCACATGGGCTCCATTTTGGCTTTATGATTGCAAAATAAATAATGACACGGTGTAATATGTCATGTATTGTTGTTCATATTTACCAGGTTTTAAGGACCAGATGCTTGTTATAATGCCCTAAAACCATATAATTCAAAGAGGGTGTATTTTCATTTTCACACAACTCTAAAATCATTGTCAGAGAGAAAATCAAAAGCACTGTAAGGGCACGGTTTTTTAAAATGGCAAATTTTCATGTCTAATTGATATGTATGTTTAAAGTATTGGAAGCTACTAGTTATGAAACTATTTCTTTAAATGACTGCTGTTACAGTAGTAGATCGTTGGGGAGAGACCTCCGCACACCTCACAGCAGTCCCGGCCAATTAAGGGATGATGGTGCTCGCAGTGACATTGGTTCACGGATGGCGCCGTGCAGACACAGGAAAAAGGCAGAAAATCACCAGCACTCAGTAGTCAAAAGCAAGTATGTCCTTTTATTGGACAGAGGCGTCATAGAACTCAAAGAAACCTCTTTCAAAAAAACCTTCTTTGAGTTCTATGACGCCTCTGTCAAATAAAAGGACATACTTGCTTTTGACTACTGAGTGCTGGTGATTTTCTGCCTTTTTGCTGTTACAGTAGGACACTGCAGAAAACCTCCAGCAATGCATGGCAGACAGATTTGAGTTTGCTGCAAAAAAGGAGCATATTCACTTCTGAAGGTCAGTGTCTTCTATCTCTCCTTCTTTCCAGTGCTGCAGCCTATGCCAGTCTCTTCACATTTAGGAGCGTGTCAAATTTCAGTTTCTTTCCTCTGACCCCCAAGTCACTGCTTTGTCTTGTACTGATGTAGAGGTTGGTATAAGAAACTAAGACATGTGGTAGGGGACACCAGCATCTGACAATCACAGATGTTTTGCATGCAAATAGACTGGCGGAGGCTGCAGAGCTGGAAAGGAGGAGAGGTGAGTTTACAAGGTCTATATTCATTATTACACTTTTAATGCATTTTTTTTTAATGCAGGCATTGTGAGCATCTGAATGCTGAGCAGCACAGGGAGCCAGTGTACGCAGTGCCCATTCTCTAAAACGTAGAGAGGTGACTTCCACAATTCCCATACTGGATCCATGAACCACCAGGACAGGGACAGCCTGGTCCTTGGCATCAGTGGCGTAACAACCGGGGGGGGCAGCAGGGGCGCGGGCCCCGGGCGAAAAGTGAAGGGGGGGCGCCGGCCGAAAATTGCACTTTCGGCTAAATGCCGAAAGTGACATTTTCCTGCCGTTTTGTCGGCACGGCCGTGATTCCGTTCATCCCCGCTGGGACACAGAGCAGTGCCCAGCAGGGATGAAAGGAATCAGAGAGAAAATGACAGCCGGCCGAGCGCTGCGGGACGAGCGCTGTGAGCGGCCGGTGTCTTTGCTGTGAGCGGCCGGTGTCTTTCCTCCCACACCGCTCGGCCACCTATCACAGTGCAGCAGAGCGGTGTGGGGG